TTAAAACTTCCTCGTTACTCACATGTTCAGTCCATGGTATTCTGGGTATTCTTCTGTAGAACCACATTTCGCTCCCTTAAATATCTTCTTCATCTGAGAGGAGACTGTCCAGCATTCACTACTGTATAGGAAGACCGATATTATATAACTATAATTATTATAATGATATGTACTCTTTCCTTTGTTTCTAACGAAACTTTCCTGTTTCTTAATATTTTGCTTTGATTTTGGAAGGCATCTTTCGCTATTGCTTATGCGTTTTCGGCGTCATATTTTCCATGCCCTGTTCAAACACATTCTAGATATCTAAATTTTTGTACTTGCTTGATTTTGGTGCCTCAAATTTGTAGCTCGCATCTTGGGCTGCCCCTTTTCCTGGTAACTGTACATTCTGTCTTACAGTTTATGTTTAGTCCTTTCTTCTCGCTTTCCTTTTCTACATTCTGTAGTAATTCCTGTAGTTTTCTTTTTGTTGTGTTATCTGCACATTAAGGTTATTAAGACTGCGGCTGCCAATAATGAATCCAAATAATTCTCAGGCTTGCTTCACTAAAGGCTGAATAAGTCCGGCAAGAAGACTCATCCTTGTCTTATGCCCCTTTCTATTTTGTGTATTTACTGAATTTATTTTCGTAAGTAGGCCAGGAAGAAGGCCAGAGCACACAACGGCCCAAACGTCGTGAATATGTCAAAAAAGAGGAGGAAAACAGTCCGAATAGTATAAACATATATATATATATATATATATATATATATATATAGTAAAAAAAGAAAGAACAGATTCCAAAATTCACTTGAAAATGAAGTAGAACTCGGGCTTTTAATTTAATTATAAAATTGAATTTGAAGTTGTTAGTTTCTGTTTTTGAAACATGGTAATTCCTACATTATTTACATTATTCGGACTATTGTCCTCATCTTTGTCGCCATGTTTATCATAACGTTTCGGCCGTTGTACGTTCCGGCCTTCTTCAGAGTGTGAGTTCAATAACCGGTTAAGACAGTGGAGAGCTTTCAGAAGGAAAATTAACAGGAGATAACTGATAGCTGACATCCACCAAACATAGCACGTGGAACTAGAACAGTCTACCCCAGTGAGCGAAATAAAGGGTTCAGTTCGACATTCCAACCACCTGAAGAAGGCCGGAGCGTTCAACGGCCGAAACGTTGTGATAAATATGGCGACAAAGATGAGGACAATAGTCCGAATAATGTAAATAATGTACATAATACCTCATCTCAGAAATATAGACAGACTATGGTAATTCCTGTGTTGCGATGGAACCATATTTTTAAATCAGTTAATTTATTATATATATATATATATATATATATATATATATATATATATATATATATATATATATATATATGTGTGTGTGTGTGTATATAAATACAAAGAAAGAACAGTAAGATATAAAATCCGGTGTTCTTATAGATATTTTTATTTTTTACAAAATAGTGCTCAATGTAGATTTACAGAGCATTAATATTATAAATTAATTGATTTAAAATATGTTTTTTTCGCTACACAGTTTCAACCATGTTTCAAAAATAGAAGCTAAAAACTGAATTTAATTTTGCAATTAAATTAAAAGCATTTTAATTTAATTGCAAAATTAAATTCGGGGTTCTTCTATTTTTGAAACATGGTTGGAACTGTGTAGCGAAAAAAAAACATATTTTAAATCAATTAATTTATAATATATATATATATATATATATATATATATGTATGTATTACTAATGTCCAGCCAATACAAGGCCCAAGAGCTACTCAAAGTAGAGGGTTACTGTGTGGAGTTGTATTAGTGTAAGAAAGGAGAAGCGTTAGGAGTATAGAGTTGAAGTAGATTTTAGAAGGAACTGGAAAGCCAAGGGATAAAAATCTACTCCTATTCAAAAGACCGGGGCGGTGTGTAAACCGAATGATAAGCGAACCTATCCACTACTATTGGTGAAGGAGAAAAAACAAAATGAAATCAATAGTTAGTGAATTGTATTTCAGAGTTCAAGCTCAGATGTTAAGAGTAAAGAACTGAAGCAGACATGAAAAGAAGCTAGAAACATAAACCTAAATAAGAAACAAAGGCAAACACTCTACTCCTGTTCAAAAGACTGGGTAGTCTGAAACAGACGAGACATGAATCTATCTACGACACACACACACACGGACATGCACACACACACACACACACACACACACACACACACACACACACACACACACACACACACACGGACACGCACACACACACACACACACATATATATATATATTATAAGAAAAACTATAGTTTTGTGATATGCTATATTTATGGGTAAAAGTGGTCAATATCAGCGATAGAGCATATGTAAATATAAAAGTAGACACTGAGCCGCTTGGGGTTAACCTCAGTCTCTCTGCTATCTATCTATCTATCTATCTATCTATCTATCTATCTATTGATAGATATCGTTTTACCATTGAAATAACTAGATGTTACCGTAAATTCTATTCTATTAGTTTATTTTCTCACACTTATCAATTTTGGAACTCTCTTATGGCGTCTTGCTTTCCTTTCACACATGATCTTCAAAAGTTTAAATGTAACATCAATCCTCATCTTCTGTCTTCCTGAACCCTATTCTTTTATTGTCTGTTCTCCCCATTAACGATTTCTCATCTTCTTTTACTCTCCATAACACGTGCGTCTTAGTGTCATTATCGCCTTGCTTGTGGAGAAACGATTATATATATATATATGCGTGTGTGTATGTGTGTGTGCATGACGGCGTCTATCCATATACGAATGCTATATATACGTGCGTGGGCATGAGTTTGTTCTGTAGGTTGCTATTATATCTTTGCATTTCAGTCTAAATTCTTCAACTGGGAATACTCAGACAGACTTCATTTGTTTTTTTGAACATATTTAAAAAAAAATAATATTAATTTCTCAACCTACACTTCACACTCACACTTGTACAAAGCCAGCATTTGTGTTTCAAAATAAAAGTTCGTTTTGTCCACTCTATATTCATATATCTTTAAACATTTTCTAAGTCTGGCTTAAAGCCAATTCAGTCTTGAATTGTTTTTTTTTTAGAAACATTGTTCTAAGCCAGGTTTCTAAGCCAATATAAGTTCAAAGTTATGTTTAAATCCTGGTCTTTAACCTGAGCTCGAATATCTACCGGTGATTATGGGGGCAAATATACGCCTGTTTCAATCAACATATCAGGACTTATTGACTCTTTGATAAGGAAATTGGCAATTTTCTTGAACCTTGTTAAGAGTGTGTAAATGACTTATCGATGTATTGCGGATTCAAAGTTTATATTTTTAATTAAAAAAAGATATGAAACTTAGCATAGACGTCTGTTGGGAAGCAGGTTATCAACTACGCCCTCGGGCCAACAGGTCATTTTCAATTAAAACTGTTTATACATTTTTTAATCATATGCCAATACTACAAGGAGTGAATAGGGAAGGTTAAGGAAAGGGTAACAGCTGAACGAGAGTCAATAAGACAAAAGATGGCGATTGACGTTGCATTTAAATTTTTGAAAAATGTAGTTATCAGTTAAGCAAGGAAACGGAAGGGAGTTTCGCAGGTGGGAAGTGAGAGAAAAGAAACTCTTGGAGTAGAAATGGTGGATGCATTTAGCTATTTCGACAGTAAACGAGTGGGATCTAGATGCTAATCTAGTAGCAGGCTTAAATTCATGAAGTCGAGGCATCAGGTAAAAAAGCTCGTCAAAGCCATGAAAATATTTGTAGAAAAGACAGAGGGAATCCACGTCGGTGAGAAAATAACTGAAGTCGAGATGCTTAGTCAGGATCAATTACATTACAGATCCTTTGGATTTTGTCAAGAACCACGACATATTTAATATAGGATAATTGTACAGTACACCTGTTTTATGTAACTGTCAACTTTATGTATATAGAAAAAGACTATCATTGATCTTTATAAGTGCATCGCCAGTTTGATATATTTTGTGTATATTTTTGAACCCGGCTTGGGAATGTAGCAGCAGATGCTCATGAAAACGATATATGCGTGTGTATTTATTGAGGACCTAAGGTCTTTATTGAAAGTAAATAGATTTGGTTGATTTCCGGATCGCGCTGTCAAACTAAAGTTTGTGTATCTGAAGACGCAACATTTTTAATTGGAAGAAGCAAATAAAAAAAAAAATCTGATGTACAGAATGAAAAAAGGACGTCGGCGACCATGACTCTTCACAATTTTCTATCAGGCCATTCACTTGAATTTGAAGCTTGTAGTCATTTTAAGCATTGATCTAAAAAAAAAGAAAGAAAAAAAAAACTGTTGTATATTGAAGATAGTTTAGACGCTCTACATGACATTCATATGAATACGTAGAGTTTTCAAGTTAATATTGTGGTTTTGTAGTATCTTTTGCGGAATAAAAGTACACCTATCGAAAAAGTAACCTCGTGTACAATTAGTTTTGTCACAAATCGCAAGATTATCCCTGTCTAAACCCCCATCGATCTAGACATTTTTTTTTTATAAATATCATGTATGGCTTTCGAATCATTCAGAAATGTCGAAATTGTCAGCTATATAAAACCGCAATCTCAGATCACTGATTGAAAATGGTTTCCAGTAAAGGAACCTTGTGGGTTTTGAAAACAAATGTTCTTAATACGAAATCCTGGACTGACGCTACAGAATTTCAAACAAAGAACTTTATCAAATAACATAAACCGCATCACTTGAAGATTTTCAAAAGCGGAAACACCTAAAATAGATAGCACAGCTCACTAGAAGAGAAAATAATGGCATAATGAAGATGTTAACTTTCCACATTAACTTAAACGAAAAGTTAGGAAGGAAACTCCCATCAATACTGCACTAGTGAACATTTAGTGGACTTGGGAAGATAGTGACTTGAGAAGCCTGTGACTTAGGAAGCCTGTAACTTGGGAAGCCTGTGACTTGAGAAGCCTGTGACTTGGGAAGCTTGTGACTTGAGAAGCCTGTGACTTAGGAAGCCTGTGACTTAGGAAGCCTGTGACTTGGGAAGATAGTGACTTGAGAAGCTTGTGACTTAGGAAGCCTGTGACTTGGGAAGCTTGTGATTTGAGAAGCCTGTGACTTAGGAAGCCTGTGACTTGGGAAGATAGTGACTTGAGAAGCCTGTGACTTTGGAAGCCTGTGACTTGGGAAGCTTGTGACTTGAGAAGCCTGTGACTTGGAAAGCTTGTGACTTGAGAAGCCTGTGACTTAGGAAGCCTGTGACTTAAGTAGCCTCAGACTTGGGAAGATAGTGACTTGAGAAGCCTCTGACTTAGGAAGCATGTGACTTGGGAAGCTTGTGACTTGAGAAGCCTGTGACTTGGAAAGCTTGTGACTTGAGAAGGCTGTGGGGACTTAGGAAGCCTGTGACTTGGGACTTGGGAAGCTTGTGACTTGAGAAGCCTATGACTGTGACCTGAGAAGGGAAGCCTGGAAGCCTGTGATTGGGAAGCTTGTGACTTGGGAAGCCTGTGACTTGGAAAGCTTGTGACCTGAGAAGCCTGTGACTTAGGAAGCCTGTGATTAGGAAGCCTGTGACTTGGGAAGATAGTGACTTGAGAAGCCTGTGACTTAGGAAGCCTGTGACATGGGAAGCCTGTGACTTGAGAAGCTTGTGACTTGGAATGCTTGTGACTTGAGAAGCTTGTGACTTGTAAAGCTTGTTACTTGAGAAGCCTGTGACTTAGGAAGCCTGTGATGAAGGAAGCCTGTGACTTGGGAAGATAGTGACTTGAGAAGCCTGTGATGAAGGAAGCCTGTAACTTGGGAAGCCTGTGACTTGGGATGCTTGTGACTTGAAAAGCCTGTGACTTATGAAGCTTGTGACTTGAGAAGCCTGAAACGTGAAAAACTGTTTTAAGAGAAAGTTTTTGAAAACTCAACCGACAGTAACGCTGACTGTTCTGTTAATGAATATCATATGTTTCCTTATAAGGAAACGGTTGATTTCAGCATTACCATTTTTTATGTTCAATTTGTTCAATTGTTTTGTATTTTCTCTTTGTAGGAAGAAAGACTGATTTGTTGTGGTTCCTCTGTTTACTTCCGGCGGCCATTTATGCTGCCTGCAAGGGAAGTAGATCATGTGAGTCGCTCTTTATTTTACTAAACATTCAAGTATATCTTCTAACTTGGTATTTTATTTTCGCTCCAATTCCAAAAAAGGAGGTTGAAAGATTCTCGTTCCAAGCCTTTTTCACAAAATTTGACGAGATAAATAATTTTTTGATTTTTGGTGGTGCCGATAACTTTCCAGAACCTCGTCGTATTTATTGTTCTTCTGATATTCCTTACGCGCATTTCTTACGCTTTGGCCAACTTTCAGAAAAAAGAAGTGGCAATTTCATTTACCCCCTCCCTCCACAACCGCCCCCCCCCAGAAACCTGAGTCACAATAAGGAACTACAAGAAATAATTCGTAAATGTGTATTGTAAAAAAAAAAAAAAAAAAAAAAACTTTTAAAGTAGATCGCTTATTGTTAGAGATGACGGAAGTCAATTTTTGTATTTGAAAATAACTTTAAATTATTTTCTTTCCAAATGCAATAAGCTATTGCTGAATTGCCGTTTGCTGAAAATAAATATTTAGTGAGAGACGAGATAGTATAGTGATAGTATTGGGGAGGCGCGACAGTTTTCTCGAACAAGAAATAGGGATTTAATGAAAATATGTTGTACATTTAATAATATTTTTTGCCTTAGCAAACCTAATAGAAATTGGTCAAAAGGAGGAATGAATTGGATATGTAGAAATATCGTTATATGTATAAAATCCTATTAAAGATATTGAGAGAATTTTTTTTATCTGAGAAAAGTTTTTTTTTATCTGAGAAAAGTTTTTTTTTTTATTGAGGAAAGTTTATTTTATCTGTAGTTTTGGTAGTCATCAAATATGTTTATGTATAGTTTAGTTAACTTAGTGTATTTCTTTATGTTGCGTTGTGTTCAAGGCGGGATTAGGTTTGTTGGCGGTCAAAAGATCCTCTAGAGAGGAGACACGTCCGATCTGTAAGTCGTCCTCTCAAAAGAGAGAGAGAGAGAGAGAGAGACAGACAGACAAACAGACAGAGACAGACAGACGGAGATGAGGAGAGAAAGAGTTTGCCTTGTAGTCTAGTGGTTACTACCAGAATCTTCTTGGCAGACAAGAAATGGATAAAAATCCCACAAAGCAAGGAAAATTAATTTGAAAATTATAGTATTGCGTTTTTTTTAAGATAGGCGTACCATATTCTTATGTCCAGAGCCATAAAACGCTACCTAATCAAAACATTAACATAAGAACCCGAGTTATGTCCTTAAATATTCTTGGTAAATTTAGACAAGATGTCATGACGCCCAAATCGTCCAGAATGCCAAAACCATCAGCAATATACAGCAGTTTTCTCAGATCAGTGCTTAAAAATAGATTCAAGTAAATGAACCTTGTAGGTCTTGAGGAGGGCTGTCCTTTATTGGATATTCTGAACCGCAAACAAAGAACTTTGACAAATAACAGAAAGCATATCACTTGAGGACGTTCAACAGCAGCAACAACAAAAATTGCTAGTACATGTCACATGAGTGGGAAAAGAATGTTATAATTAACATTCCACGGGATAGAAGCCTCGATTAATACTGGAAAGAGAGATTGAAATTACTGGACTTGAGAAACCAATTTTCCTGAAAAATTGTTTTCAGAAAGATTTTATAAATTTCAATCGACATCAGTGCTAAATGTTTGGTCAATAGACGACGAATTTTTCCTGTATGGAAACGTTTAGTCTCAACATTACCATTATTATAATACGAGACTGTATCAGAATACTTCCGAACTCAGCTCAAAAAAATGTTCACTATTGCCCCAGTTGCTAATATATTGCACGTGTACTTATTTCGAATTAACGGTCATTTTAAATGTTTTCACGAATTTATTTTCTCATTGTCTGGCTTTTTGTCATTGATTGGTCGTTACCTACCGTCTTCAGGTTGAACTGATCTTGAAACTAGTGGGCCATTTTGAATTCACGTAATAAAGGTTCATCTGATGAAGCATTTCATGTCTCTTCTATACCGACCTGTCAACGTTCAAGTCAATGTTTGACACGGGTCCGTAGCTCAAAATTTCTATCTGTATCAACACAACGCTATTCCTTTGGTTGTAATCTCCATTGCTCTTCCTAGGAAATATCAAATGTAACTCTATATTTGATCCTCTTGCAAACGGAACGTTTCATTTGAGCCACTATGAAATGGAACCCTCTGTCTTAGCCAATGTTGTTCTCATTCCTATACCTGGCAACAAGATATATGAAACGTTAGCATACATTTGATACACTTGGATGCAGAGCACTCGATTTGATCCAATGGTATGTTTTGTTCTCACTCTTCTAAATGTAATAATCCCTAGTGTATAGATTGGTTGATTTTGTTTAAAGTCATATCAACCTCTATAGGTTGTTTAATGTCAAAATATAAATATTTTGAAGGCAATCTTATGGCGTGAATAATAAATAAATAGGTATTGTTGGTAATTCTGATATAAATAAGTATTGTTGGTAATTTCTTTTTATATAAAAAAATGTGTTGGTAGTATTTTTACTATAAAAATACTTTTATACTTTTATAGTCTTTCATTTTAGTTTGTTTTGTTAAAAATCTTTTGTTAGTTTTCTGAATTCATCCCCTCCCCTGTCCGGGGTATGGCGATAAACTTACATGGGTAAGACGATAATTTACGTCCAACAGCAAGGCCTCTGATCAGGCTTTTAAAAATTTTGTCGGCATTAAATAACCCATTTAGGTTGATATGCCGTAAAACAAGCCAAACCAAACCAATCATCCCTTCCGCCTCAGTTCATGATTCATGAAATTTTTATATATTTTTGTTAAAAAAAAAGAAAATGGACGTTATGAACTTTCACTAGATTTTTATATAATGGGGTGTTTTGTAGGTTCCCTGTAAATATGTGGTATTGTGGTATATGCAGGATTAGATGGTGATGGATGAGTTCTTGTGGTAGATGGTTAAATTGTATTGGATGAATGGATCGTGATTGTGATGAATAGGACTAGGATAGTTAGTGAAGACCAACCTCTCCCCATTTCCCCTTCGGCCTTGTGCCAAAATTTTGTATTATACAAGATAAATACACTGTCGGCAGAATACAGCGGCCACTCTTATTGTGAGTGGTGAGCAGATCCTACTACCATCTGTTCTGTTTTAGTTTGTTTTTGTTGCGTTCTTTAGTTTTGCTTTTGGGGTTCATCACCTTCCCTGTCATTTTCATAATTCATGAAAATTTATATATATATTTGTTAAAAAAAAAGAGATAAAAAGAAATAAAAAGAGGCTTTATGAACGTTTATTAGATTTTATTGGATTCCCTTGTGAATATGTAGTATTGTGGCTTATGCAGGATTGAATGGTGATAGATGAGTTCTTGTGGTAGATAGTTAAATTGTATTGGATGAATGGATCGTGATTGTGATGAATAGGACTAGGATAGTTAGTGAAGACCAACCTCTCCCCAACTCCCCCTTTGGCCTAGTGCCACAATTATTGTATATTTTACAGTAATAAGTATACTTTTGTTTTTGTATGTAATTCCAATATTTGCCCATACCTGGAACTCCCTAGTGTAAATTTTTTATGGTTGGTAAGGAATGGTAAATAGTTTCAGACTATTATTTTTAGTAGCAGCGTATTTTGGCTCAGACCTTCTGATGTTGACCTTTAAGGTCAGATGTTAGACAAGACAAGAATGTCAATTTTCATTAGCTGAGTCGAACGTGGGAATAGTTATAGATTAAGGTTTTGGGGGGGGAATTGCTGTTTGGACGTCAGGTCAATGAGACGTGTTAGATTGCGCTTGCGTAAGCCTCCTTCCCCCTACTGGGAAAGTGTCTTTCGTGAGTTGGTTGTTACGCGTCAAAGGAAATGGACGTGTAAGATATTCGTATTTGGAAGCGGCTCCCAAATAGGCGGTGTATTAAAATCCACTTGATAGAAAATGTGCAGGTCGACGTGTTTAATAAAATAATAGTTCTTTGTTGATTATTTTTGTCTCTGAACCCAAAGAACATTTCGCGACACCGATCAAGAAAAGAAGAAAATTGAACTAAAGCCACCAGCGACCTCTCCCTCGACCGCCTAATGAAGGGTATACAACAATATCAATTGCAACCTTTTATTTGAGACACTGGGAACAGAGCCATCTGCTTGATCCAATGGAAATATTAAAAGTATTTTTTTTACTCATACGTTCGGAATAGACGGGTATGGCCGGCTATTTAAATTTTGATTTTTTTCCAAACTACTCACCATTATTCCAGGCACCGGCTTATTTTATTTTTCACTTCTATATTTGAACTTCTCTTTTCTTCTTCCGAAAACAAATGAATTTTGAATGAATTTCCCAACCTACCCTTTTATTAAAACCCACGCTTTTATTCTGGAATGAAGAGTATTTGATTCACTGGTTTTGTTTTACGGTATATCAACCATAATGGGTTATTTAATGCCGGCAACTTTTTTCCTGGTAATATTTTGTTTTGTCAAAAATCTTTTTCTGGTAATATTTTTTCCTCAAAAATGTATAGCTGGTAATATTTTTTTAAAAAATATATAGCTGGTAATAGTTTTTTTTTCTTCAAAATTTTATTTCTGGTAATAAGCTTTTACAAAGTATTTCTGGTATTAAAACCCAGTTTTACACTTTCATAATGCTTTTTACTTCAGTTTCGGGGTTAACTATTTGCCCATAGCAGGGGCCCTAACAGGTGCTACCACCCTGAGTCAGGGTGGGCCTGGTAACACCAGCAATTAAGAGGTGATTCCACGCTCCTCAAAGCCTCCTGATCAGAGGCCTTGCTGCTGGACCTAATTTTATCCTGGACGCGGATGTAGTTTATCGTCATACCCAAGACAGTTTGATTCACTGGAATGTTACTCTATCTGTCATGTCTAAATACCAATATCATATATACCGTTATTTTTACATAGATAAACTACTATTAATATAAGAGACTAATGGGTATAACCTGGGATATCGGTTTTCTATTGTTATTAAGTAATACACTAATCTCCCAGTAATTATTCCATAT